AAGGCCCCACAGTCAGAGCCCGAACTCAAAGAGAATCATCTGACTCTAAACTCTGTATTTTTATCTGCTGTGAGGTTGTCTATCAAGCTTCCTTAGTTTTTTCTTATTTCTTAGAAACTGTCATATTTTTCTGCCTTAAAGCCACACTGTCTAGCTCATCATTCATTCATTCATTCATTTTCATTTATTCAATCAGTTGGTCAACAAATACCACGTGAGCACTCGCATGTCCCAAAGATACAGTTGTACATGAGGAGACACGATCTTCCTTGTCAAGAATCTCATGGCCTGACAGGTGAGACAGAAAGGTGACTAAGACACCTTCAACACTAGGTAATAAATGCTGGGATTGGGTCTCTATGGAGAGCTGAGGGGCACAGAGGAGGGGCACCTGACCGTGTGACAGTGGTGGACACAGCATAAGGAAAGACTTCCCAGAAGAAATGACACATAACTTGCGCTGAAGGATGGGAGAAAAGTACTTATTTTCATACCTATCCTGTTACTGAAAGGATTGAAGAGGCTCAGCACGCAACTCATGGTAAACAGCTAATAAATATTCAGTAAATGAATGACTGGTGAGAAAGAACTTGTAATTGTTTCTCCTTCTGCATTGGCTGCCAGGACACTCAGGGTCAAAGTGGTAGCAAATGTTTAGACCTTTAGACCTTTGACTTCCTCCTTCCTTCCTCCTCCTTCTCCACCTCAGCCCCCAAAATTGGTTTTGAATTTCCTGTAATTCATTCCTTTCCACTTTCTGACTTTGTAGGTTGTATTTCTCTTTGACTATTTGGACTTGAGAGTTCTCTGGAGATTGTCTCAGATCCTATTAGAGATGAGACAAGATAAATGATAAATTTAGCTTAGGACTCTGTTCCATAGGCTGATCCTTTTGGCTCAGCAATCAGGGGACAGCATCTCTGTCACTCTGCCTTGGTTTATTCCACAAGTCAGGTAGTCTTTGCGCCCTGAGAATGGCAGTGTCCTCTTAGTTCTCTGAGTGCCCAAAGCCCTTCACCCAGAGCTCCTGCACCCCAAGCCCATCCAAAAGCTTGCACGAGGCGCCTCCTTGTGGTGACAAAAATGTTCTTATAAAGAGAAGTGGGTAGGCACTCCTGTCAGCGAAGTCAGTCTCTGTACAATGATTATTTCCAAATAACCAGCAAATGCTGTCCCCACAATGCCACACTAAGAACCTCAGCGGTCCTCTGATTTATTAAGGTCCCATGGCCGTGGAGGCAGATCCAAGACACAGACCATGGCCAGCCACCCCTCAATCGTGAGTGTTTCCTAACACCCTTGCTGTCGTGATTAATTATTTGTTAGATATGTGATGATCTGCTTTGTGGCTTCTCTAGGTAGAATGCCAGTTCCAAGGGGGGGAGGTTTTGTTTGGTCCCACTGGAGACAGCAAATACGGAATCCATGGGTAGATCCCATGGGTAGATCTTACGGGTAGATTTCATTCATTCATTCATTCATTCACTCATTCATACATTCATTCATCATTCACTGAGTGTCAACTTTCTCTGCGTGCTGAGCATTCTGCTGCTGTAGGGACACCAAAGTAGATCCAAGTCTCTTGTCTCAAGAAGTTCAGTTCAGTTTCTAGTTGTGAAGACAGACATGCAAACACATTTCAATCCAACGTGAACAGCCCAACTATGGAAATCTGTTCAACTTAATGAGAAACCCCAGGGGAAGGAGGATTAATTCTGTTGGGGGCTATCTGGGAAGACTTCCTGGAGGAGGTGAAGTCAGAGCTGGGTGCTGAAGGGTGGTCAAGAGTAGGGAAAGACATGCAGGTGAGAGGCTCCCTTTCAGGAGCAGGCAGGACATGATTATATTCATCCTACAGTGGGATGAATCTCACTGAGGTGGGGCGACTGTGCGCTGAGACATGCCTTCAATATGGCCAAACCATTCACTCTCATCATGGCAATGATGATCTCCTGGAGGGGTGGATGGTTTTTTCCTTACATCCAACAATTCAATTCAATTTTGGCACTGTCTACCTGGAGTTGGCACAAGCTAAGGCCTCAGTTCCAGAAGACTACCCCCACTTCAGATATAAATTGCAAGTCCCAGGCCATCTGTACTTATGACTGACCGGTTATAAACTGGGCTTCCCATAGCCCCTTCTCAGGTTTGATAATTTGCTAGGAAAGCTCACAGACTCAGGAAAATACTTCACTTACTATTACCTGTTTATTATAAAGGATACAACTAAGGAACAAGTAAATGGAAGAGATGCCTAGGGTAAGGTATGGGGTGTGTCGGTGCAGAATTCCTGTGCCCTCTCCAGCACTCAGGTATGTTCACCAAACTGAAGCTCTCAGAAACTCATAGTTTAGGGTTTTTATGGAGGTTCCATTATGTAGGCATGATCGATGCACTCATCGGCCATCGGTGATCAACTTAACCTCCAACCCCTCTCTCCTCCCCAGAGGTCAGGGAGTGGGGCTGGAGGTTCCAGCCCTCTAATTCTTTCTGGCGACCAGTCCCCATACTGAAGCTGTCTAGGGGCCCACCAAGAGTCACCTCATTAGCACAAAAGGTACTCTTATCATCAGGAAGTCACAAGAATTTTAGGAGCTCTGTGCCAGGAACCAGGGACATGGAATAAAGACCAAATACCTTGTTATGATACCACAAGGGGCTTTTGGACAAATTGATAAAGGACAGCAATGATGCCTTCTTAGTTTCTCAGAAAGTGTGTCCCCGATGCTAGGAAACCCGGCTGTGCCCTAAAAGGAGAAACAATGAAAAAGGAGAAGCAACATGCTGAAAGAGAGCAAATCGACCATTTACAAGTCTTCCTGCAGAATCGCTCTTCTCAAGTGGAAATGAAATCGACCTCTCCGGCTGCAACATACGACCTGGCGGTGGGAACGGTGTAGCCTCCTCTGTCAGGGCTGATTTATTTTTGGTGTCATGTAGACACAGGCACCCTACAGGATCTTTCCTTTTCCACCCAGGGGTCCCACTGGACAGAATGGGGCCTTGCCATCTGGGTTCAAATCCCCACATTGCCATTTTCTAGCTGTGAGAGTTTGGGCAAGTTACTTAACGTTTTGTGCCTCAGTTTCCACATCTGTAAGATGAGAGTATGAATATTTCTTACCTCATAGGGTGGTCGTGAGGATAAATATGAATTATTATGTGAAGATGCTGAAGACAGGGCCTAGCACCCAGAAACCCTCTGTCAAAATTTGCTACTGCTTTTATTACGAAGTCTACTATTATTTTATTTTGATGTGAAATGTCATACTCTTTTATTAATATTACTTTTATTATTAAGATCATTAAGGCTTTTGGGTTTTGTTGTTCTCTCTGGGACATTGGGGTGAAATCAGTCATGTGCCTTGGACTCACAGGACACCTGCAATTTTGGGGTGGGGATGGGGTAGGGGACAGAGTGCTGGTGACAGGCCTTTAAGTGGTGTCCTTTCTTTGACCTCCCCCTCTTCCCCACTTCCCACCTCTCATGTTCTCAGCTCACCCAGGGGAACTGAATTTCAAACATTCTTGCAATTTGAGAGTCTAACAGGCATCTCAAACTTAGCAAGTCCTGATTCCCCTGTCCCCGCTCCAGCCTCTTTTCCCCTCATCTTCTCCGTCTCTGCAGGTGGAAACTCCCTCTGTCCAGTGGCTCAGTCCCGAATCTCAATCTCATCCTTGTTTCCTTTCTTCTTCTCAAACCTCATCAAGGTCTGTTTTACCTTAAAAATAGACGTGGAATCTGTCCACTTCTCTCCTCTCTCTGCTCCCCACGTTTCAGGCCGCCGTTGTTCCGTACCAGGGTTATTGCAAGATGCCCCCCACGATCTCTGCTGCTTCCAGCCTTGCCCCTCTGCATCCATTTCTGGTGTGTGCACGTGCGTGCGTGCGTGCGTGCGTGTGTGTGTGCGTGTGTGTAACAAGCCACCAGAAGCTAGATAGCTTAAAACAGCAGCAATTTATTCTCACAGTTCTGGAGGCCAGAAATCCAAAATCAAAGTGTCAGCAGGGCTGGTTACGCTGGAGGCTCTGAGACAGAATGTGTCCCACACCTCTCTCTTGGCTTCTGGTGGCAATTCTTGGCATTCCTTGGCTTACAGATGTGTCACTCCAGTCTCTGCCTCCGTCTTCACGTAGCCTTCTGTGTTCTCTTCTTTCCTAAGGATACCACTCTTTGGGTGTAGAGCCTACTTTGATCCAGGATGATCTCATCTCCAGATCCTTAACTTAATGACATCTGCAAAGAACCTTTTTTTCAAATAAGGTCACCTTCACAGGTTCTGGGTGAACATGAGTTTTGGGAGTCACCATTCAACCCATCACGCCTCTCTGCCGTCTACTCTCAAAATAGCAACCAGAGCGGTCCTTTAAAAATTTAAGGTTAGCTGAAATAAAATCCCCTGATTCTTCTGCCCCAGACCATCTGGTGGTCCCCATCTCATTCAGAGAGAAAGCCAAAGTCCTTCTGACTTTTTTGAACCCCACATGATCTGCCCCATGAACTCTCTGCCTTCATTTCCCACATCCTTCCCGGCTCACCCCACGCTGCCCCCTGGCTTTCCCCACGTGCCTCCGTCTCACCAGACACGCTCCCATCTCGGGGGCTCTGCAACTGCTCCTCCCTTGGCCCTGAGTTCTAAACAGCTGCCTCCCTTACCTCCTTCAGGTCTTTGCTCCAATGTCATATGGGGTGAAGAGGGGGGACAGTGTAGGAGACGAAGGTGGAATAACACCCACCTTGAGGGGTGGCGAGGATTAAGTGAGACGATGCTTGTAAAGCACATGGCCTTGCACAAAGATGAGCCTCAGTCACTGTTGTTATTATTAGGATCATCATCATCAGAAATAGTGGTAGTAACAGTATTAGGGGTAGTGACAGCCGTGTTAATTTCCCCCCCAGCATTCGGGCGCTGGCCCATAGCGGGTACTCGGTAAATGTTTGTTGATTGAATGAAGGATGTTAGTAACCCTCCTCTGCCTGGTGTCCTGTCTCTTCTAAGCCATGCATGGGACGTTTGTGATTCTGCTGCCGCTCAGCCTGATCCTGATGGTTTTTGGGGGGATGACGGGCTTTCTGAGCTTCCTTCTCCGAGCCCCCCTCCTCCTCCGGCTCACTGGGATTCTCTTCCTCTTTGGAGGTAGGTGCCCACCCTGCTCAGGGCTCAGGCTCCAGGAGGTGCTGGGTGGTGGGTCTGTGCATCATGAGCCTTCAGCAAGGAAGGGGGCAGGGGTCCCCACGGCCTCTCTGGAGCTCAGTTTCCCCATCTGTGATATCACAGCTGAAAGAAATGGGTGGTTGGCAGCTCAGGGTCCTGCGTCTCTGGTTCCAAAAAAGAATCAGCAGGAGGGAGAAGCTTCCAAGAATCATTTTCTTTATTTTACAAAAGAAGTCGTGTAGATAGAAAACATTCGGGGGTGGGGGACCAACCCACAGTAAAAAAAAACAACAAAAAACCCCCCAATAAAATAATACAAATAAAAATACAGAATGACAACTATTTAGCACTTAAATTGTATTAGGTATTTTAAGCAATCTAGAGATGATTTAAAGTATATGCAAATATACACATAGGCTGTACACAGATACTACATCGTTTTACATCAGGGACTTGAGCTTCTGGGGATGTTGGTATTCTCAGGGGGGTGCATAGGGGGGTCTGGAACCAATCCTCAGCAGATACCGAGGGACCACTGCATATACAATTTTTACTTAAACAACAACACACACAAAAACCAAACAAAAAGACAGGCATGACAGGCAATGGCTGGGTTAATACTGCTGGTTTGGTAGATCAGAGGTTTTAAAAAATGGGATCTGGTGCACGCTGGCTGTTCCATGGCCCTCTGTGTGTTTGAAATGTTTCTCACTTAAAAAAGACAACGGTGTGATATGCACACTTGGAATCCACAGATGGAAACGAATGAATGTCTGGAGGTGAAAAATGCGAGGCTCTGACCTTCTCCAACAGTCATGATTATTATTAATATTGGTGTTAACAGTTCACCCAATGGCAAATTCCCAAAACCAGCATTGCCCAGTAGAACTTCCTGTGATAGTGGAGGTTCTCTAATCCACACGCTGTGCAGTGGTGGTGATGCTGGAGGAGAGGGTCTGGGGGCCCGATAGTCGGCCTCAACCTACCCTTTCCTCTCACCAGGTTCTTGACTCCACCACAGGAAAGAACTGAAGAGCAGAGTCATACTGGAAAACGAGAAAAGATTTAATGTAACAAATGAGAGATATAGATTCCACAGAGAGTGAGGCACAGCTCTAGAAACTGAGCAGAGCCCACTCCAAGTTTAACACAGAAGTAAGAAATACACACTTAAAGTTCAGTACGGAGGGCAGGCTGGCTCAAGAGAGTGAGCCTCTGCCTGCTAAGAGTAAGCTTAACACAAAAGTAAAGCATGCACACCTCAGCCAGCAAAGTGCACGTTGGCCCCAGGAAAGAGAGCAACAACCTGGCCTTTTGCCAAGATGCCACTTTTATAGTTCCACTATCTAATACCTACTTATACTATTTAACGAATATTCAGCTAAGGGTGTGGTTTCCCGCTATGTAACATAGTCTTGCACATGCTCAGTGGGTCTGTATGTAGGGCATGTTCACTGCTCAAATTCTATCACATGCAACAGACATATTCAAGAATATTCTGTGCTCTTTAGCACCCCTAATGGAAGATCATTCAAAGGATATATTCCACTTTACTGAGCATGCTCTGCTATTAGGGTTGCATAACCTTTCTACTGACGCTGGATTTGCATAAGCCAGTCCCCTGAGGTGTCAATTTCCCTTATGTTGGTGCCAAAATAGGTGCAATAAGAGACAGTAGCTCTCCTCTAGGGGAGGGTCCACGGGAGGGTCCTGAGACCTTGAGGAGTAGCTTGAAACCAGGAGGGTGTCCTGAAACCCAACTCAAGGAAACTGTGCATCTCCTGTCTCAGTGGATTCAGGACCAGGCTCGTGTGGGGAGTGCCAAGGAGGGACTGAGTTGTTGATTTAATTAAACGTCAATCTAAACAGCCACGTGTGGCCTGTGGCTACCGTCGCAAATAAGCGCAGCTCTAAGCTAAACCTATAGAGACCCACCATGAGCCAGGCACTGGGAAGTCACCGCCCAGGCAAGTGCAGGAACGGACGCATGAGCTGAGACCTGCAGGAAGGCCAGGAGTGACGAGGACAAGAGGGACAGCGGGGGGTGGGGTGGTGGTGGTGGTGGCCGCGCTTCGGGCGGGGGGACCAGCACGGGCGGGCGAAGGCCCTGCGGTGGGAAGGGGCGACAACACTCGGGGAGGGGGCGCCAGGTGACGTTTGGATCCGCTGTCCCTCCACCCTCCTGCAGCCGCGGTGACCCTCGCCGGGATCAGCGTCTACATCGCGTACTCGGCCGCCGCCTTCCGGGAGGCGCTGTGCCTCCTGCAGGAGAAGGCCCTCCTGGACCAGGTGGACATCCGCTTCGGCTGGTCCCTGGCCCTGGGCTGGGTCAGCTTCGTCGCCGAGCTGCTCACTGGGGCGGCCTTCCTGGCAGCAGCCCGCGTGCTCAGCCTGAGAGGGAGGCAGGACCAGGCCGTATGAACCCGCGCGGAGGTCCCGGTGGAGGGTGGGGTCTGGCTCTCCAACTTCCGAGGACCTAGCCTGGGGCCCGGCTGTTGTCATTGTGTCATCTGTGCCAGTGTGTGTGTGCCGTGAATGTGCATATATGCGTGGCCTGGAGCAGGGCCCTGGGAATGCTGAACTGGCTTCACCTGAAATAAAGAACAGCAATCCTTTAATCGTGCACTGAACTTCACAGATTGCAGTGTCCGTGTGCCTCCTCTGGCTTCATTTCATCGAACTCATCCCCAACCTTTGGATCAGCTCCTCTTCTTTGTTAAGGAAATGTTAAGGATGACCAGAGAGGTTAGGTAACTTGTGCAAAGGTGCACAGCGAGCTAATGGCATAATCCTCCCTCCAAGCAGCTTTTCTGAGCAGGCTCATAGCCTTTATACTCTATCTCAGATGAGGCCTCCTGTTTCACATGACCCTAAATCCAGACAGGAAGGCGCAGTGGGAGACCCCAAAGAAAGGACAGCAGAGACGGAGTTTTCTCAACCAGGAGGTGGTGGAAGAGTCTCCTCCAGACCTCAGCCATTCCAGCTGGATTCATGCGTATCCGGTCTAGAGCCCTGAACCTCAATCGGAAAAGGTTCACTTTGTGTGATGATTCTCAGTGATCCATGGCTCGCTTTGGAAATTTCAAATAGAGTCATCCCAGAGATGAAAGACCCTCTCGAACATTCAGGTGGTCAGTGTGCTGGTCTCCTCATGTGTTACTTTATAATTGTCAGGAAACCTCCATAGGAAGAAAACAAACAATTCACAGTCAGTAGGAAGGACAATCAGGAGACTCACCCGGAGAGGGAAGAGTTATCAGCACCCTCAGTTAGTAGGGAAGAGAAATCCTCAGAAACGCAGTTGATAACTCCTGGACTGTTTTCGTTGTGCGTAGTTTTCAATCCAAATGCTAAATGTTAGCTCGAGTCACCCTCAAGCCCGTGAAGGAAGTATTTACACCGTGGAGACTGAGCTCCAGCCTCTGATTCAGTAGGTTGGGGCCGGGGCCTGAGATTCTGCATTTCTAACCAGCACCTAAGTGAGTCTGAGGTTGCTGGTCTGTGGACCATATTTAAGTAGAGAGGATTTATAAAGTATCACACACACACATAGCACACACACCACACACATGCACATACCCCCCCCACATACACACCACACCCCCCACATACGCACACACCACACACACACACACACACACCACACCCCCCCTCCCACATTAGGCATGGTTTTAAGTTGCTTCTGCAACTTAATTATGATGTCCTCAATTATGCCTGGAGTCCTGGTGAAACTATTAACATTTCTTTAGTGAAATAATGATACACCATTGTCAGTGGTGTGGCCAGGGTAAGATGTTTGCTTGGCGTGGACTCGGTGGTCTGGGTGGGAGAGGTGCCCACCACCTTGGCCCTGTCGGCATTGAGCTATCTCCAGGAAAGCCTTGGCTCTGAGCTCCTTTTGGGTTAAGTTAACCCTGGGTGGAGTGTGACACTGGCTTTTAGAGTGTGGGGTAGTGGGGGTAGGTCTAGAACATGAAGCTGAAACATTCCCACGGGGTTGGTTGATTGATAAGACAATCTTCAGGGACTAATCACGCCTCTTTCACCGTTCCCCAGAAAAACCCATCCGTCCTTTCATCCTGGTATTCCTGCCTATGGGAACGGGGGTGTCCAGAGTAGCTGCACACCTGAATCCCCTGGGGCAGTACAGTTATATTCAAGCCCAAGACTCTGCCCTGCTCAGATGGCCAGATGCCACTCCCAGGGTTTCTGAGTCAAGAGTTCTGGCTGGAGCTTGAGAATTCACATTTCCAACCAGCCCCCAGGATGCCAATGGTCTGGGGCCACCCTCTGCATGACACTGACCTGGGAATTTTGTTAAGTGACATGGGAGGTTTGTCATCTTTTTTTTTTTTTTTCCTTTTTGTCTTTTTTCGTGACCGGCAACGGATCGCAACCTATTTCATATATGGTGAAATAACCTTACAGCAGTATACCTCCATGTCCCCCTTTCTATCGTTTATGCTATTGCTGGCATACATTTTAGTTCTATGTATGCTATAAACCCAAGATACATTGTAATTACCATTTCATTAGTCAATGATCTTTATTTTTATTTATTTTTATTTTTATTTATTTATTTTTTTCCTTTTTGTCTTTTTTTGTGACTGGCAACGGATCGTAACCCTCGGTGTTGTGCCCGCACCTTGCTCAGCCAGTGAGTGGCCAGTCTGTATGTGGGATCCGAACCCTTGGCGGGAGCGCCACCGCGCTCCCAAGCGGCGCACTGTAGCAGTGCGCCACCGGGCCGGCCCCATGAGGTTTGTCATCTTGCTGCACATTAGAATCACCTGGGCATCTTTTAAAAATTCTGATGCCCAGACTGAATCCTTGATCCAACAGTCTCTAGGAGTGGATTACTTTTTTTTTTTTTTTTTTGACTGGTAAGGGGATTGCAACCCTCGGCAAGGTGTGGTCTGCACCACGCTCAGCCAGTGAATGCACCGGCCATCCCTATATAGGATCTGAACCCGCTGCCTTGGTGCTACCAGCACCTCACTCTCCCGAGTGAGTCACGGGGCTGGCCCAGGAGTGGATTACTTTTTAAGAGCTCTTCAAATGATTCCAACATGCAACCAGGATTGAGATCTTGTTTTTGTAAGATTTTGAGCAATAAAATGTGGAGGGAGGGCCTGGGGAGCCTTAGTTTTAAGAAACTCCCCAGGAGGTGCTGATGGTTCAGCAGGCTTGGGGACCATTGGTATGGGTTATAAAATGACAGCACCATTATCAACATCATGACATCCTCCTCCTCACCATGACATCATCACAGTTGAACACCCATTGAGTGCTTGCCATGCACCTGTGCCCTTCTATGTGCCATTCATTCATTCAACAAATAGCTGACGGAAGGCAATTACATACCAGGAACTATGGGCAGTGGCTCCACCAGAGGCAGCCCTTGCTCTCTGAGCTGCTGTATGATTTTGGAGAGGCATGTGAAATATACAGCTAGTGATGAGGACTATGGAGATGAGCGAAGCAAGGTACAAATGAAGAAACTGAGCACAGACATTAACTGGCCCAAGGACACAAGGAGAGGAAGGGATGCCAATGGGATTAAAATCCAAAACTGCCTGACTCCAGGACAATTTTCTCTCCATTTCTGCTAATGCTGCACACTCAGTTATCTGTCTACTTGTTGGTTCAGGACGTTGTTGTGGCTTCTCCTTCTGTCTCATCTGCAAAAGCACAAATGGAGTGGATTGCTTGCAAGGGCCCACCCGTCAAGTGAACGCTGTTGCAAAAATCAATTACTAGACTGGAGAAAACAAAGTTTTTGCAAGGTCAGAGCAACCCTGCTACTGAAAGGGCGGTCTTTGCTGCCATCTGCTGGTTATATGGTGGAACTGCGTCAGAGGCAGGATTTGATTCCTAGATCAAAAGACATTCGTTTTCAGTCCTCTGAGCGCCCAGCGCTGGGTTAAGCACTGCAGCAGAGAGATTCTACACATCCACCTCCCCCGAACATTAGGTGATGTCTAGAGTCAGTTTTCGCTGTTACAACTGGCAGGGGGTGGTTGGGGGATGCTACTGGCACCTAGTGGGTAGAGCCCTGGGATGCTGTTAAAAACATCCTGCAGTGCCCAGGACAGCCCCACAACAAAGGACTTTCTGGTCCCACATGTCTGTAGGGCTGAGGATGAGGAGCCCTGTATTATGGGTTGAATTGTGACCTTGCAAAAGTTTAATGTGTTGGAGGCTTGGTCCCCACAGTGACTGTGTTAAGAGGGTGGGAAATCCTACTATGGTAATTGAAAGGTGGGGACTTGAAGAGGTGATTGGATTGTAAGGACCATGCCAGAGTGAATGGATTAATAATAGTGGTCACGGGCATGGTTTGGAGGGCTTTAAAAGGACAGTATCTGAGTGTCTCTCTCTCTCTCTCTCTCTCTCTCTGCTCCAACACTTTCTGCCATGTGAGTCCCTGCATTGCTGTAAAGCCACGACCAAAGAGAGCCCTCACCAGATGTGTTCCCTGGACTTTGGACTTCCCAGCCTCTGAAACTGTAAGCAATACATTTCATTTTCTTATAAATGACCCATTTCCAGGTATTTTGTTATAAGCAACAGAAATGGACTAATACACTGTGCAAGGGGGAAAAATGAATAAGAAGAAAACACAGCATGTGTGGACTCAAGTAGCTGACAAGGTGGAAGAAAAGAATCCCACTCATTAATTCACTCATTCATTCAGTGGATGTTTCCCAGACACCTGCTATGTGTCAGGAACTGTTCTGGGGCCCGGGGACACATTAGTGGGGATGGCTGACAAGATTCCTGCCCTGACCAGCTTACATGGCAACTCACAATAAACACGTGGACCAATAATACACACGAGAGATTCAGAGAGGGATTAGTGTCATGAAGAAAACACAACAGGGTGATGAGATGTGGAGTGGCCGGGAGAGGGGCTGTTCTAGAAAGGCCAGCCAGGAAGGGCCCCTCAGAAGGGGTGACATTGCACAGAGACCCAAACAAGGAACCTGCAGACCCAGCAGGTGACATCAAGTGCAAAGTCCCCAAGGTGAGAACAAGCTTACATGTTTGAGGGAAAGAATAAAGGAGAATTGAGGGAGAATGGCAGGAGGTGAACTCAGAGAGGTGGGGGTGGGGGCCAAGGTAAGGAGGTGCTGATGATAAAGCCAGGTTGAGATCCTATCCTATCCTATCCTATCCTATCCTATCCTATCCTATCCTATCCTATCCTATCCTACTCTATTCCATTCCATTTGGATTCTACTTTGAGAGCAGTGGGATGTCTTTAAGACAGTGGTTCTCAACCCTGGCTTTACATTAGCATCGTCTAGGGACATATTAAAAACACCACTGACTTCTGACACTTGGGCTTCAGTGGAGCCCAGTGGAATCAGAACCTCAAGTGTGGGCCTGGGCACTGGTGTTTTTATGAAGTCACCCAGGCGACTCTGCTGTGCAGGGGCGGTGAGAA